AAATTATTTTTGAATCATTTGGACTCATCTGTATCCACACTCCTCTCTACCAAATATGAAAAAAGATCCTATTCTGGAAACTAAATGAATTTTATTTTTCATTTATTTTTTTTTTATTTCTCAGGCACAAGAAATACTGACAAACATCCTATATTTAAAATATTTGAAATCGGAACTGACCCGAATCAACGTATTGCAAAATTCTAATGGGGTGGGTTTTCCACATTTTCTGTAGTGAACAACACCAGCCTGTCTTACACCTGGAGGAATTTGACCTTTCTGTTTTAAAGAATAACTATGCATAAAGCAGACAGATCAGCAATGCTATTTTAGCCTAATCTAGATGGCCAGTCCAAGGAAAGTACTCACGAGACTTAATTTCTTACCGTTTACTTCCGTCTCTCTGCCAGTGGTTCTTAACCCTCTTAATGCTGGCCCTCTTTAAGACAGCTCCTCGCATTGTGCTAACCCCCAACCATAAAATCTGGTTTTGTTGCTACTTTGTAACTGTAGTTTTGCTACTGTTATGAATCCTACTGTACATATCCGACATGCAGGATATCTGATATTCGACCCCTGTGAAGGGTTATTCGACCCCCAAAAGGGTCGAGACTCACAGGTGGAGAGCCACTGCTCTAGGTGAAAGTGGGGGGACTAGTGTGATGGGTAGCTGTTTTTATTTTCCTTTACTCTTGAGGGCCTGACACCCAGCTCTCAAATAAATACCCAGAGACTTATTCTTACTTATGAATGCCCACCCTTAGCTTGGGCTTGTTTCTAGCCAGGTTTTTTTTTTTTAACTTAAATTATCCCATTTCTATGTATGTTTTGCCTCTGGGCTTTTTACCTTTCTTTATTCTATATATCTTTCTCTCCTTATTCCACGGCTGGCCGTGTGTCTGGGTGGCTGGCCCCTGGCATCCCCTTCTCCTTGTCTCACTTCACCTTCTCTTCCCTAGATTTCTCCTCCTATTTATTCTCTCTGCCTGCCCAACCTACCAATGCCTCTCCTGCCTAGCTATTGGCCATTCAGCTCTTTATTAGACCAATCAGGTGTTTTAGGCAGGCAGAGTAACACAGTTCTATAGAATTTTTTTTTAAAAAAAATGTAACATAAAAGAATGCGACACATCTTTGCAACCTTCAACAACTATTCCTCACATAAATGAATGTCACACATCTTCAGCTCAGATTCCACAACGGTGATGCCAAGTCTGATGACCTGAATGTGATCCCTGGAACCTTCATGGTGGAAGAACACCAGTTTCTTCGTGTGCCATGGCACATGCATAAACACACAGACATTCACACAGACATGCACACATACACAGGAGGAGGAGGAAGAAGAGAAAGGAAAGGGAGGGGGACTAGAGGAAAGAAGGGGAGGGAGGAGTAAGCCTTAAGAAACATATATGATAAGAACATACATGCCTTATATTTTCCAAGAATCATTTCCAAAAAAAGTCTATTTTATTCAATTCCACCACCACTTTGTAAATCAAGAAAACATTCTCATTTTACACACCCAACAAATGAAATGTGAAATGAATGACTTGCTAAGATCACAATCCCGAAAGGGTTGTAAATGTTTACATTCCTGTCTCAAGTTCCTTTTCCATCTACTCTGAAAGTAACCAAGAGGAGCGCACTTACAGTTTGGTTCTGAGGTCTGTTCTGAGATTTGCACACCAAATGTGTTATTAGGCATCTGGCTTTCTGACCAACTTGTTTCAAAACTGACAGCAGCCTTGAATTCTTTTTCTTTCATCCCAATTTATGAGCCCATAAGACCATTTCTTAAGGAAAATAAACTTGACAGTCCATGTGACAGCAAAGCCAACGTGCTCACATTGGATATATCAAAGTCTGGCAATTTGCCTGTGTCTTCTGACATATTCTGACGAAATTACGATTCGACTTACGGTATCTGTCCTCACAGACCTGAGTGAATTCCCCTGCCCCATGAATCTGTATTTTCATCTAGCCAAGATGTCAATTTGATATCTTATTTTCCATTCTGCCTAAGTCACTAGTAACGCAATCTGTGAAACACCACATCAAAATGGAAATTGCTTCTAGAATATGTAGTCACAAACATGTGTCAAGTGGATCGTGTGGCAGCTTTTTAAAAATACAGTTCAGATAACATTAGGATGTGCGGCATCAAAGATGGATCCGTGTTTATTTTTAAACCGAGACAGAGAGATGTGCAGAGCTCTGAATTTAGAGGGCTGATTCTGATATTTAATGGACTTCTTTCTCTCGCCCTTTCAGGTCAAACATCCATTATCTTTACGTGCAGAGAACGACGGGAGGTTAATTTGTATTCAGCAGAGCCGCCAGTCAAGGCATTTGATTGATAATAATTACCGGTTTTCATTGCATGCCTATTGTACACCAAGTGTTTTATACACCACTCAAGGAGACGCAGAACAACTGACCTGACGTTACAAGTGAGTACAGTGGAGGTTTGGAGAACTTAATAAGCGTATTTGGATCACACGGTAAGTAGGTAAGTAGAAATTCAGGAGTTGAGGTGCAAACACAACAAAAGGCAACTTGGTGAGGAAAGAGTTTATTTGGCTGGCACATGCCAATCACAGTCAATCGCTGACTAGTTTAGACAGAACTCAAGACGGGAGCAGAGAGAGTTATTAGCATGAGGGAGCCCTGTTTAGTGGCTTGCTCGGCTTGTTTTCTTGTATAACCAATCACCACCTGCGACCCACAGTGGGCTGGATCCTCCTGCCTCCACCAATGAAATGTCCCCCACATTTCTGGCCCCCCAGAAGCCAAACTGATGGAGGCAATCATCAGGTCTGGTTCCCTCTTCCCGGGTGACCCTAGTTTGTGTCAAGCAGACCACCAAGGAAACAGCAAAACACAGTCATTAGGGTCTCCAGCTGAGTCTGGTGGTCAGTGACTTCAAACCGTGTTTAGTGTTCCCTGCTGACTCGATCTCACGGGAATTCTCCTATTGCAAAAGACGTTGTCTCCCATCTGAGCCTAAGAGTGTTTGAAAGAGCGCATCCTGTTTATGACTTGAATGGACAAGATGACAGGGGAAATAGAGCCAAAGGTGATGAAGAAAATAGTAACCTGGGGTGGGGTAAGAAAGGATGTAGTCATTTACCAGTAGCGGTCGAGCTGGGGAGCTGTAAAGATTTGGATTCCAGCAACATTTTCCATTTTAGACCTAGAAACCTAAGTGGTGCTAAAATGTCTTAGTGGAAGCACTGTGCAGATGAAATATATGTGTATGAAAAAACATATACATATGGATACAAGGAGAATTTGTCTGCCCTATGCTATGATAGCAATTTATGATGAAATCACTCAGTGCTTACTCTGTGTCCCTACACTCACCAACTGTTGAGTAAGCCTGTAAGGTGGGCATTGTTGGCACTTTCATTGGACCAGATGAGTGTCTTAGAGGCATGGGCAACACAATAATGCTGAGCCAGAATTCAGAACATTCTACATACAGTTGTGGGCTGTATTCTGCATCCAGTTGTGGGCTGTATTCT